AGGTTATTGAAGATAAGGCCTGTCTATTCCCCATTGTATCTTCATGGCTCCTTTATCATATATTAATTGACCAAACATGTATGGGTTTATATCTGGGCTATCTATTCTGCTACATTGATCTTTGGGTCTGTTGTTATGCTAGTACCATGCTGTTTTGATTACTGTAGTTTGTAGTAAAGCTTGACATCAGGGAGCATAATACCCCAGATTTGTTCTTCTTGCCCAAATTTCATCTAAATTTTTAACAACATAGTCCTAAGGGAAAGAGATGAATTTTAGTGGACTTGGATTAAAAACCTGTTTTTATCATTTGCCAGTTATGTAAACTCAGGAAGATTACATAATTTGATTTCTTTCATGTCCAAAATGAAGGTAAATATGTCTATGAAAGGATTCTTAGGAGTACTAAATTAAAGCACATATATAAAATGTCAAACATAGTTCCTGGCATGGTAGGCATTAAAAAAATGCTGCCCCTTCAAAATTCTACCTTTTGACTTACTGTCTTACATAGTAAGGCTACTAGAAGTTCATGTTTAATTAGAATGGATAGTTTCCTCTGTTTACAATAAGGAGAATATACCATGAGAGAGTCATAAAATCTAAGAATCAAAAATAAATATACATCCCCATAGCTGAGAATATACAGAATTTCACTTTCTCAGGTGGCCATTGAGCATAGTATTGAAATGAATTCTGCAATGAATTCTGGATGATTTCTTGACTGGAAATATTAATGTTTCTTTTTAAAAACTAGGCATATTCACATATGCTGCCACAGGCTGATATCCATAGGGGCAGGCAGAAATATTTTCTTCTACCCAGAGCACCACACAAATAGCCAAAGCCACTCTGGCATTGTCAGGGTTTTAGTTTTCTTACTTCCTCTATCAAATCTTGGGAAGATTTCTTTAATAATTCATCTAAGATTTAAATAAATACATGGAAGGTGGGGAGAAGGAAATCATTCTGTAGTCAGCCAAAATATTGTATGTTGGAATAAAGGTAACACAAAAGAATTGTTTGCAAAGGAAAAACCATGAGGGGCAAGCACATATTTCAGAGAGGACAGGAAAAAACGAAGGACAATCAAGAAGAAAGTCTGTGCACTTCATGAATAGAAGGTAGACATTTCTTCCAGTGTAAAGCAAAGTTTATCTTGACTGTCTTTGATTCCATGGTTTTATATTCTGTCTTAAATATTCCACTTTTGTTTTAGAAAATGCCTGTCTTAGTCTTCTCGGGCTGCCATAACAGACAAGGTGGCTTAAAGAATAGACATTTGTTTCCTCATAGTTATGGTGGCTACATATTCCAGATCAAGATGCCTCTCGGGTTGGTTTCTCCTGAGGCCTTTCCCTTAACTTACAGGTGGTCGCCTTCTCTCTGTGTGCTCATGTGGGCTTTAGTCTGTTAACCAGCATCACTGGAATGCCTTCCTCTTCTTTTAGGACATCAGTCCTGTTGGATTGGGACTCCACCCTTATGATCTCATCGAACCCTAATACCTCTTTAAAAGTCTTATCTCAACCTGTGGGTTAGAGCTTCTACATATTAACTGGGGGAAAAAACAAGTCCAGAACAATGTCTAGCCCAAATAATAAACATGTTTCTTGATCAAGGATAGCAGTTTTTTATTAGAATCATTTTATTTACTTCAACCTTTTCTTAAAGCATTGTGGAAGACTAATAGTTTTAATGCATGAAATAATTCAGAATGTCATTTTTGTGAGCACATTATGAAAAACATCGACTATGGAATCAGGAGACACTAATTTACTTACCACATAGATGTGGTAAGTAAATTATGATTCATTTTACAATTTGATTCATTTACATAATTATGAATCATTTACAGTTTGATCCTATATTTTCTCATTTGTAAAATTAGGAATTCATAGTTAAAATTACTATACATGTTTTACAAGACAGAATTCAATGAGATATTAGAAATTTTAAAAATTATAGTATGTAAAGTACTATACCAATGTTAATTACTTTTACTGTTTTCCATTAGAATAGTCCACAAACTATAGCCTGAAATAATATTCAAAATAATATTTATTCTTTTTAAGGCAGGCTAAAGGAAAAATAAAATAAATCAAAATATAAGAGTGAAATAAGCCATGGGCAGTAATTTCATGGGCAGTAGAATTGAAATTTTCTTTTGGAAATAAGGTTAAGAGGGAAAAATATTAACATAGAGTATTTTTGGTCAAATTTTGAAAATACTAATCTACAGAAGTATGATGAGCCCAATAACAATGGCAAAATAATAAAGGAACACTGTAAAATTTTAATAAAGTATTGGATGTAAATAGTCACTCAAATTTACATTCTTTTACACAGTAATCTTTCCTTGATACACAGCCATAACAACCTGAGGCACTTACTAGCACATTGTTTTATTAAACTCACTGTATCATTAGGTAAGACTCAAGAATAGTATACACTGAAAAAAATCTTACATCACTTCTCTCTTACTGGAAGATAAAGACAAACTCCTACATTGTATGAGATGGGGTGTCACATGGAACATCAAAGTGTGTTTGCTGGAATCCTTCAGTGAATCTAGATCTTTTCTCTTAGTATCTAGCAATAATTAAAGTTATTGCTTGGGCATTGGTGACAAGGCGTATATCACTATTACTGATTTTGCCACAAGCTGGTGTTGACTTTCTCGGAAGTCTCACATAGAAAATGTAAGGGCAGGGATGGCACAGTTTTTAAAACTGACTCTTTTTCCACTTAAAATGGAGTGATGTGACCCTGCTTGTGGACATCTCTCTGTGGTACAGTTCCAATGACATAAGTCCTGTACCGATTCTTAACATTAGTATGTCTGTTTGAAACTAAGTCTTTGCAATGTATTAAACTCTTATCAAATCTCTCTTATCAGTATTTGTTTCACAAGGGTTTATTCAATTTAAATATGAATGTTCTGAGATTTGGTCATTTTGAGGAAGAAGAAGCTTTGTTTTCAACTTCTTGAATTGCCTGGAAGTTTTCTTAATGAAAGGGTAAAATGTATTTATAAAATAAGTTTTCTATCCTATCAACTATAGGGGATATTAGCTATCCCATTTGCTATTTCCCTCTATTTATCCTTTCCTTTCTTTGTGATATCTTACAACTCGGCCCTCTCCTGTTTCCTTGGTCTATCTCTGATGTTCTTCTGTCTTGGCTGAGAGCTTACTGACTCTTGGTCAGACACAAGGCTAACAAATGAGAGAATAATTTTGAACAAAACACAAGTTAGTATATAATCCTATCTTAGTAAATATGAAAACTCTCCTTGATGGAAATGTCATCCAAGCTAAGCTCCAAAGAATAAACAGGAACTAGCAGGTGGAAGTGGGGACAGAAACACTGCAGCATATGCAAAGGCCCTGTGGCAGAAAGAACAGGGTACAGATGGGAAATGACTGGTAATTTTGTATAGTTTATAAATACTGAAGTTTTATTTTACAAAAGCAGATATTGAAGTACCACTATTGCCATTTGGTTCTGATATTTTCATTAGCAAAAAGGTTAAAAGGCTTCTGTGTTTGTCCATCATTGATGGTGGCCTGAACTTAGGTACCGGTGATTGAGGGGGAGAGAGAAATAAAGGTATGAGAATTGACAAGACATAGCAATTTGGGGGAATATGGAATATATGGAAGAAAAGCAGGGAAAAAGATACTCTGCTGTCCTACATGACCTTTGAGTAAATAGTTATGAATGTTACCATTCACACAAAGGGAGCCCAAGACAAAGAGGAGGAAAGCTGAGAGAGGGAAAAGAAAACTAAGAACAAGCCAGAAGACAAATTGCATCACTGCAAAAAATGCTACGATTTCAATGATTAAATGCTCAGAAAATTCATACTCCCTTACCGCTGCCATTTTTGTCCTGTTTTGGGAAGCTTTATATGCAGCAAATTGACTGAGATGGATCTGGCACCTCTTCTGGGCAGCAGAATCAAGTTGGTGACAGGTTAGAGAAAGCAGACAATGAATGACAAACAGCTGGAGGCCCCTGGGACTCCCTGCAGTTACTTAACCCGGAGCTACTTTGAGTCAGGCTAGAGCCAATGTCCATACAGTTTTTTGCCAATAAGTGAGGTTAAGAATAGTTTCTGATCTTACAGTTGGGAATGTGTATGTAATGTGGAGGACTGGTATACTCTTGCATTCCTATGATGGAAATAGGAATATATTTTCTCAGAAAGATGATTCTCTGCAGTGATTATTTCCATAGAATTGTTAGGACAGTCCTCTGGATAATTTATAGGTTTGATAACCTGCCAATATCTGGTTGAGAAACTTCACTGGTCTTATTTGGAACTTGGGATACATTTCCCCATTTAAAAAAAATCTACTTCAAGACAATTTATGGTCACAACTGATTGGAAACTACTTAGACTTGACACTAGTAAATGTCAAGTTTGACAGTTGTGTTAAGATGGGTCAGTTCCAAGAGCATCAGGGTAGATCACCAAGTCACTCTAACTTGTGTTAAGGAGACTATAATCAGAATTAATTGTTCTTTACTTTCCAGTTCATGAACACTTTAATTTCTGATCACTCTTTTTTCTGATCCCTCTCCCCTAATTGCTTCATCTTAGAAACTCACATTATACTTAATGTGAAAAGGATTTATTATCTAGCTTTCTCCCTTTCTATATACCAAGTTTGAAAATCCTAAGGAGAGGGCTTCAAGTTTTAATCCTCTAATTCTTAAAAAGCTCTGAAATATTAAGAAGCTTACTGAAGGGCTGTGTTGTGCTGTAATTTCTTATTGTGATTTGAGTTGAGTAGAACCATAAACGCTATATTTGGCATTGGTCAAATGGCTTGGCACTCAAGTGTTGGCTTTGGTTCATTGGTATTGGCATATTTTTCCCATGTTTGAGGCTCTTTGAATTATCAGATAAAAATGATTTCTAAGGCATTAGGACATTTTGAAGACCTACCATGAGCAGCGATGTAGGTGTTTCCTTTTGAATTTTATTTCAGAAATCTCTACCACAGGACCCCTTGGCATGGGGAGCACCGCCACCACCACCCTTCGGACCACAGCGTGGGGCCCAGGCAGGAGCACCACCCCGTCTGCTCCGGGAAGAAGAAACCGGAGCACCAGCACCCCTTCTCCAGCTGTCGAGGTACTTGATGACATTACCACGCACCTCCCCTCAGCATCATCCCAAATCCCAGCTCTGGAAGAGAGCTGCGAGGCTGTGGAAGCCCGAGAGATCATGTGGTTTAAGACGCGTCAAGGACAGATAGCAAAGCAGCCGTGCCCTGCGGGAACTATAGGTAAGTCTGTCCTACAGAGCTAAGCTAAAGGGGTTTGGTTACATTAGGTTGCTTTTTTGCTTTTACGGCATTTTCTTCTGTTTTTTCTTGTTACTACATATGTTTGTTACTTCACTTGATTAAATTCTGAACTCAGCTAAATTACCATTTAAAGCAATGTATTTTCAGTTAGAAAAAGCATTCAGAAGAAGTTACAGGTGAGAATTTGGTGGGAATCCATATGAGATCATAGTTTCGCCCATGGAGTGGTCTCGGGGCAGAGCTACAGTTAGGCTGTGAATGTCCTGGCTACCCCAGACAGCCAGCTCTTCTCTGCACTGCCCAGAGAAAATCACCAGATTGCCATGAGCTAGCTCTCATGCTTGTTGTGCTAATTGCAGAAAATAAGGTGGAGGACTTCAATATTAGAAGGTGATGATTGAAACTGCCTAAAATTTAACCAAAGAGAAAGTCTGACTTTTACGAATCACTGGAGCTGTCCTTTTATAGTCAAAGGCTCTCATACTTGTCAGGGATGAGGTCGGGAGGCGCCAGCCTCCCATTCACTCAACAATTGCTAGAGGAAGCAATCCTGCATTGTTTACTAGGGAATAGCTAAAAACTAAACAGCTATTTGCCTCCCTACCCCTCTTTTCTGGGTGATATGATTCATAATATCCCCAAATGGTAACCATGTTATTATTTATAATTTTTAAGCCAGAAATATTCTGATTTTCCTGTTGTATACATTGATCTTTGTAAAACTAATACTTTACACAGTGAATACAATTCACATTATTCTATAAAATGTCTAAATAAAACACATACACAGTAGATGCTACTGTACTAGTATCTTCTCTCATTTCTCATTTCTCTCCTCGGCTTAATGTTCTTCATTAATTTCCCAGCACCCACAGATGATGGACAAGGGTGTTTATGATCTGGCCTGTCTGCTCTTCCAACTCATGAAATAAAATTCCCGTCTAGTACACCTCAGTTCTCAACATGGAGTTTCCCCAAAACAGGGTATTTTTCATCCATCTGAAATTCCCTTTTCCATTGTGTTTTCCTGAAAAACCTACAAACTGAGTTCTTTAAGACTCAAGTGCTACCTCATATCTGAAAACTCATACCAAAGGCCCCTGGGGACAGGTACCACATTCATCTAATTCAGGAAATTATTCTCTAGACCTGGCATAGTTGCCAACAAGCATTTTAAAAATACTGAATGTTTTTGTTTATTGTACTACATTTCTCCAATGGCAGTTGCTTGCCAGACACTGTGCATGATGTTTTAATAGATATCACTACCTCAGCTCAATAATATAAATTTTACCTTTGCTCATATTTAAACACAGCATGAGTATAAAATCACTGAAAGAAAGATGGTTTGAATATTTAAAGCAGAACTATTTCTATCATTATTTTAGGAGTATCAACTTATTTGTGCCTGGCTCCTGATGGAATCTGGGATCCCCAAGGACCAGATCTTAGCAACTGTTCTTCTCCTTGGGTCAACCATATAACACAGAAGGTAAATCTTGTGACTGACAAGGAAGGCTTCACCAAGCCTAGGTCCTCTATTGTTGATTCTAATTGCTACATACAAAATAGTAAAAAATATTTTTAAAATTAATATGAAAAAGTTTTCCCATTTTAATTTAATTTAAGATTTAATGACAACCTCTTAAATGCTATGAACTAATTCTAGAATTTTGTTGTTCTTAAAGGGCAAATCCATGAACCTCATCTAAGCCAGACAGTATTGCTTATAATAATGTTATCATTAATAAAATTTTTATGGTATTGTGAACTACAGATATAAAAGTTCAAGAGGTATTATAAATCAAGCAAAGCAAAAGCTTCTAGCATGCATACATATGGGTTTTCCTGAAGAAATAATAATTACCAGAAGAAGTCTACCTTTGGAATCCTAAGCCATTTGATAAATGTTCTGTAACTTAATCATTTATCAGTGTTAAAAGTATACACATGTATGACAGAATCTTTTTTGTGTGACAGACTCAAATTTGCAGGGCTTACTTGGTTGCAATATGTTGAACATTTTTATTATTAATGCACTGTGGGGCTTTGAATTGATTTCATTACAAACAGAGACCAGATGTGCATTTATGCCAAAAGGGCTATGGGATGAATCCTTCATACAGCAATTTGTGTGGATTTATGCAGTCCTAAAATGAAGAGTCCTTCTATGGCACATTAGCTATGCTGAAGAATTTCTGAAAGAGATTTTCCTGAGAAATATTACAAATGATGGCCTTAGTAAAAGCCTGTCTGTGCCATTTGCTCTTTTCTGTATTTGTTTTTAACCAGGCTGATCTTCAGTAATATACTGTATAATAATCCATAAATATCTACCCAGTAGATCATTTAGCAGATGAGCCGTAACTATCTATTTACCCTAAATCATGGAAGAGCAGTGGTTATATTGACTCTAGTTACCCTCTTACATATGCATCTCCATACTTGTTGCTATTCATAATGATGCTTCTCCAATTTCAGCACTGTTCCTGCCACAGTTTTTATGTCCTTTGATTTTATTACAATGTAGCTCAGACCCCAGGGCAAATAACTCTTGTTGGATATGATCAGATTAAGAGATCAGTAGCACATCTCCTTACATTAGCAACTTTTAAAATATACTCCCTACATACTTAGCCCAAGGGTTAATATTAATTCAGTAATAATTCACCTAGAAAACTAAGCATTTTCATGCTAATTCCTGAATATGGTTGGACTGTTTCATTGCAGAAATTACTGGGTGACTCTAACTGATAATGATGTTTTATTCTTTTCTCTCCTCCACGGACCTGTTAATCTTGTGACAAAAGAGATAATTCTTTGCAAAGACCAGACAGCTGTTGCCCATTTGATTTATAGATGGAGTGTTTTTGTTTTAAATATGTCCCATTCTTCCAGAGCATTTCTGTTCAATGCTGTAGAATCTGTAAAATCATGTAAAATTATAATTATGTTAAGATTATAGAATTTAAGTAATTAGAATCTATCATAATGCCTTAACTTAACTTCTCATAAACTTATAAAATCTTTAAAAATATGACAGGAGTCTTTGGAAGACTCCAAATGGTCTTATATAACTAACCAAAGGTCAAGGTTGGAGCTACTGTTTTAGCTGAATCTACCTTTATCAAGAAATCGTGCTTAGCCACAGCACTGGTTAAACTGGGAATAGATTTCAATTGCCTTGATGTCACACACTTACTTGTTTAGTCTCTCTTCACTTCCGATGCACCCTTTTACCTGGTGCATCCTTCATACCTCCAAATATTTATTCTACTCATTGACTATAGATGGTAGCTGCACAAGTTTCTTGACCACAAAACTCCAATGCTTTTAAATACTCACATTTTAAACCTTCAAGAGAGAATGTATATGCACTGTTCAGAGAGTTATTTTGTCCATATTATCTCTCCCTCCTCCCCAAAACATCTTCCTCCAAATTCATGCCTTTCCTCATTTCCTCCCTCAATACTGCAATCCCAACAACAGATGGAACATTTGAAGAGTGGTATTGGGGAAGCAAAGATGAACTGGAAGGGATTGAGCGGGAACCCAGATGGGGAGCAGTTACCAGCCCAAGGCCTGTGGTCGATGCATCAAAGGAGTGACTACAAATTGGAAGCAAGGAATAGTTGAGAAGAAAGATGACCCTGTAGATAAGAGATATAGCCTGGCCTCAGGCATCTTTTCAGAAGGAGACCAAGGGAAATAAATACCCTGACCTCACTCACCTGTCCAGTCTTCCCATTGGCCAAACCCAAATGGAAGCCAGAGAAGAGGGGCACTCTTCCTAACAGCCATGTCAGTGTACCTCAGAAGGCAGAGAGCAGGATGGAGGAGGATGGCAAGTAGCCTTGGACTAGGAGATGTAAAGTACCTGGTGTAGTTCTCAGTTTTCTACTACCCTTCTCTGACCCCCTCCTCTGTTTCCCATCCACCCTCCTCCCTCCTTCCCGGTGTCCCATCCCCTCTCCTTTGCTCTGACCTCTCTTCTTTTCTCTAGTAGATCTTTTTATGCTATGTTGGAAAGATTAGAGTTAAATAAGCATTTTTAATGTTTGATTACTCCTTCTCCTGCCACTGTAATTCTTGAGACTTTTAAAGTAAAAGAACACATTTTACCCCCAGTGAAAGCATAGATGGAAAATTAAAGGAAAGGGTGATTCTCTCGTTTAAACAGTGAAATCAGTTTCCCCTACCCAAGAATTTATGTGTGAATGTGCCCTGGAGTGTGAGGCAATTACTTTATAGTGCCTCTGAGGAATTCCTGGGCTTTAAAAGAAAGGACACCTTTGGATCACAGTCTGTGCCATGAGGAGCATCATCTCTTCTATGGGGAGATCATTCATTTCATTATCAGTACTATTCACTCCTCAAATGTCACTCACTGGGTGTCTACAGGCTTGGTAACATCGAGTGTACACGAGTCAATGGATCAGGATGCTTACTTTAATTGGGGAAACTGAACTTTATGTTTTCATTTTTGTAAAGAAATGAGTTATGTTTTGTCTCCTGCAGTCAGGCCAGGAGGGAGAAGACAGGCTAGGAATCTTGATGGTTTCTGACTCACAAATGAATTCAAGCCACTTACATACTGGTGAAATCATAGATTAAATTTTGTGTGGTGATGGAGAGTGGGTTACATTTCATTAGAGAAAATATAAGCCTGTATAGTCAGAATATCACAAAGAAATTTATTACAGACTATCCAGAACACTCTCATAATGATGAGATATAATAAAAATAAAATATGTCAGAAAGAGAAAGGCAAAGTTATGCACAAAAAGAACTATACCCCAGCAATAATACAAGGGGTGAACGGGAGCAAGTGAGGAGAGAGAAAAATTGGTAGGAGATTGATGGATGGATGGATAGATAGAAGGATAGGTAGACACAAACATAAATATATGGATGGAAAAAAATAAGATAAATCTGTCTTCAAATTAATGTTTTAAAAAATATTTTCCGGTTTTTATTGAAAGCCAGCAAATTAGTTCAGAGCTGTGCCTCATCAAACAGATACAGCAAAATTTCCATTTTCTCACCTTTCTTAATAATTACTTACTAAATCACAGCATCTGGCTTCAGCTTGATTTCTTGCTTAGACTCAATTCAAAAAGGGATTTATATTTTCTTTTTTGCATACCTATAAAATAGTTTGTTCTACTTTATAAACCCTCCAGTCTTTTCCACTTTAAAATTCTATAATTTCAAACAGCTTTGAATGTCTTCCATATTTATTTACGTGTAAAATGAGAGATGCTCTATACTTCCTTACCCGGTTCAACTATTATATGAAAAAAAATGCCTGGATTGTAACTGGGAAATAGTTTATTTCAAGGTAACCAAAGTGTCTTTTCTTTTGTTTGTACAAAAGCTACTGACAGATTTTGAGATAAGTAGGGTTCTTCCTGCATTTTCTAAAGAAGAATATGAGGATCTGGAAATATTGTTGCTATTTTACCTTATTTTATATTTATAGTTATTTGCCCAGGATTGCTAGATTGAATCCTGTCACCTAGATTTTAATTTCCCCGTTCTTCTTTTTTCTAATTGAACTAAAGTTGACATATATTATTATATTAGATTCAGGAGTATAAGTGTAGTGACTCAACATTTGTATACAGTACAAAATGCTCACCATACTAAGTAAAGTTGCCATCTGTCACCATGCAAAGTTATTACAATATTATTGACTATATCCCTATATGGTATGTTATATCCCAGCAACTTATTTCTTTTATAATTGCGAGTTTGTACCTCTTAATTCCTTTCAACTATTTTGCCTGTCCCTCAACCACTACCCCTTCTACAACCACCAGTTTGTTCTCTGTTTTATTTGTTCACTTTTTTCTTTTTTCACTCAATACCCTATAGGTCCATCTATGTCATTACACATGGAAAGCTTTCATTCTTTTTTATGACTGAGTAGTATTCCTGTGTGTGTGTGTGTGTGTTTGTGTGTTTGTGTGTGTGTGTGTGTGTGTGTGTGTGTGTGTGTGTACCACATCTTCTTTATCCATTCATTCTTCAGTGAACACTTAGGTTGCTTCCGTATCTTGGCTATTGTAAATAATGCTGTGATAAACATAGGTATACCAAAATCTTTTCAAGTGTATGTTTTCATTTCTCCAGGTAAATACCCAGAAGTGGAATTACTGAATCATATGGTTGTTCTACTTTTCATTTTTTGAGGAACCTACACACTGTTTCCATAGTGGCTGCACCAATTTATATTCCACCAACAGTGTACAAGAGTTACATTTTATCCACATTCTTTCCAACACATATTTTTAATTTTTGATACTAGCCATTCTGACTGGTGTGAGGTGCTAACTTATTGTGGTTCTGATTTGCATTTCCCTTTCAATTAGCAATGTTGATCATCTTTTCATGTGTCTGTTGGCCATCTGAATGTCTTCTTTGGAAAATCCCTATTCAGGTCCTCTGCCCATTTTTTAACTGGATTGTTTGTTACTTTCGTGCTGAGTT